TGCCTATAAATAGTCAAAGAAACGCCCCGTATTAATATTCATTTTGACTGACTGCATGAAGAAGATCGCAGGGAATGAGGACAGAACAGCTAAAAAAGACATCTCACACCGTGTCAGATTTTGGTTATTGTGGGGAGGTGGAGATCAATCATATTGTTTGGTGGATGCAGTTTGAACCAGAGTAGCAGCATGGAGGTCGGATCGTCACCAACATAAATAAATAAGTGGTCCGAAAAAAGTTAATGACAAAAAACCTAACCTTCCTCAGGCAGTGTGTTTGTCCCGGGGACAGGAGACCCCCCCCCTTGATGAGAAATTGTAAGAAATGATGGGGGAATCTGAATGATTGTGTTGTATTTGGTGGTTTGTGTTCCAGCTGTCGATCAGCAACTATATCTCCATAATCCACCAGTTAAAGGAAATACAATGTGTTGTGTTATATTAGCTGTTTACCACATATGGTGTTCTTAGTTTCCATACCTCCTGTGTTTTACGAGCGACTTATCAAGTCTTGGCAAACGGCATAAAACACGATTAAACGTGATAGTATATAAAACCATGCTCGTATCTACAACCTATAGAAATGCAAAACGGCGTCAGTTTAGACGTAATTCTGTCCTCCTGCTTACCGCATCATTTATGAGAAAACATTTCATAACATTAACACAACATATTCGAGGTGGTTTTAAATAGCATATCCGTATTTATTTATTTCTCCAAGTGATGTTTTTGTGTGCACTGAGGAGTCTCAAACAGGCGTTTGTTTAATCATTTTAAGATTGGCTTTAATCAATGTTTGAAAAGGAATTCTTCATATTTGATAAATGAGAGGTAACATTTTATTGATGGTATTATTTCCACATATTTCTCTCCATTCTTCCTTCTGCCAACGGTGTCGTAGTGTCTCGTCTCTCCCGGTTTTGTGCGTACGCATGGGTTAGAGTTTGCGTGGAGGACCGCACATTTTCCCGTCAAGTTTGTTTTTTATAAATCGCAAACATTGCGTAGAAACTGGCGTACGCCATCTTTTGAGCGTACGCACCGTTTATGAATGAGGCCCCAGGGGCCTCATTCATAACGCCTTGCGTAGGATTGACGTAGGAAGGTTGCTTACGTAGTACAAAGCACAAAAATAGGTACATACATTTTCCGCCATTTTCCGATTCACAAAACATTGCGTACCGGCGAGGGAAGTGCGTACGGCACTCCCTACGCCTGTTTCCCTTTATAAATCACAATCGACTCGTAACACCCATATTTGCCTATACATAGTCAAAGAAACGCCCATTCATTCATTCATTCTGACTGACTGCATGAAGAAGATCGCAGGAAATGAGGACAGAACAGCTAAAAAAGACATCTCACACCGTGTCAGATTTTGGTTATTGTGGGGAGGTCGAGATAAATCATATTGTTTGGTGGATGCAGTTTGAACCAGAGTAGCAGCATGGAGGTCGGATCGTCACCAACATAAATAAATAAGTGGTCCGAAAAAAGTTAATGACAAAAAAAATCCACATAACCTTCCTCAGGCAGTGTTTGTCCCGGGGACAGGAGACCCCCCCCCTTGATGAGAAACTGTAAGAAATGATCGGGGAATCCCTCCGGAGTGTAGTCATGACGACTGGATCTGAATGATTGTGTTGTATTTGGTGGTTTGTGTTCCAGCTGTCGATCAGCAACTATATATCCATAATCCACCAGTTAAAGGAAATACAATGTGTTGTGTTATATTAGCTGTACAATTTACCACATATGGTGTTCTTAGTTTCCATACCTCCTGGGTTTTACGAGCCACTTATCAAGTCTTGGCAAACGGCATAAAACACGATTAAACGTGATAGTATATAAAACCATGCTCGTATCTACAACCTATAGAAATGCAAAACGGCGTCAGTTTAGACGTAATTCTGTCCTCCTGCTTACCGCATCATTTATGAGAAAACATTTCATAACATTAACACAACATATTCGAGGTGGTTTTAAATAGCATATCCGTATTTATTTATTTCTCCAAGTTATGTTTTTGTGTGCACTGAGGAGTTTCAAACAGGCGTTTGTTTAATCATTTAAAGATTGGCTTTAATCAATGTTTGAAAATGAATTCTTCATATTTGATAAATGAGAGGTAACATTTTATTTATGGTATTATTTCCACATATTTCTCTCCATTCTTCCTTCTGCCAACGGTGTCGCAGTTTCTCGTCTCTCCCGTTTGTGTGCTTAGTGCGTACGCATGGGTTAGAGTTTGCGTGGAGGACAGCACATTTTCCCGTCAAGTTAGTATTTTATAAATCGCAAACATTGCGTAGAAACTGGCGTACGCCATTTTTTGAGCGTATATCCCTTTATAAATGAGGCCCCAGGTCTTTTACCTTACATGTGGATTTAAACATTGATCACAACTATGTGGCGACACCTTGTGGTAGGAGTGTGTATCTATCTAATCAACACATCCCCCTTTCTTTGAGGTAATATAAACAAATAGTGCAACATCAATTTTAACCAAACATTTTGATTTCTCTACCATGCCATAACAAATAAACATCTGGTCTACATTTACTCAGGATGCTAACTAGCACAAACTTGGAAATTGTCTAAACATTTACACCATTTTAACATCTATTAAAGTCTCTCAATTACAGATTCAGTCTATCAGGTTTTCTGATTTCCCTTATAGATCTTCTGACCACATGTTCACTTGGAGTATCACAGTCTGTCTGTGGTGAAGGTGTGGACTCAGACTCAATGATGGATTCACTGAGCTGTTGACCAGCCTCTTTTGTTTTCATAAGACTGCAATGATTAGGTCTGAAGATTTGCCCTTCCTCTGTCCTCACAGTGAAGGATCGCGGTGCTACTTCCTGAAAAACGGTTCATCAGAAGTTCAGCAGGTGACAGTCCACACTCCAGAGGTGAGGCTCTGCAGCTGAGTAAAGCGAGGTATGGGTCTGAGCCACTCTCATCAGCTTTCTTTAGAAGTTGCTTGAGAATGTGTATTTATTCCAGGCCAGAAAACACTGTCTCTCGCCCGTCTTTTGCATTTTTCAACACCCAGATGACCTTCATGTATTCTTTGTAGTACTTCCTGTCTCAATCTGTTCTCCAAGCATGTTTATACAATTCCTGCCTATTCCCGCAGTACAGTATGTGTTTTATCTGCAGAATGTGATTGGTTACTATACACAACACCGCAGTCTTTAGAAACAAGTGTGAAGTGGTGTTTAGGTGTGACTTCATTTTATATAAGTCAACATTTCATTTTTTTCTGTGCATGCAAACGGTCTTGGGGCTTTAACAATCTCTTGAGATGATAGATAAGACGGGCCTGTTCTTACTCACTCTGGGCTTCAACCACACAAATGTGTCTTAGACGTGACCTTAAAACTTAAACATGTTCTCCTGTCTGCTATTTGTGTTCTTCTGGGTCTTTGCTCCGAGAACTTCATCACATACAACATGTTTCTTTGCAGATTTACTGCTCAAATGCTTTTGTAGCCACTGTCTGTCCTTGTTCGATGATCACAGACAACATACACTTTGAGCTTCCAGTAATATTTGCAGGTGCAGTTCAGGATGAAGCAAGCGATCTGTTTTTGATATATATCCTTCAGCGTGTCTGTGGAAAAGCCTGGCTCATGTTTGCATATTTATCATTGAACTGTTATCCATTTGGCTTGTGCCCTGAGAAAACAACAGCTGCACACAGAAAGTAATCAGAGAAAAACTAAATATTGAGGTGACATTCTGAGCTGAGGTACAAAGGACAGTTTGTTTAGTTGTGAGAGCAGGACGACGGCTCAACTCTACCCCTGGTTGAGAGTGTTCAGAAACGGCTGTATTTCTTAATGAAAATTAAAACTTTTAAAGAGAAACAATGTAAAACAACATGTCTGCAAAACATACTGTCATGGCATGTATATGGCAGTGATAACACCCGCCCAGATCATCATTGTTACCCATCCCCCAAACATCAGTGATATTGCACAGAGCCCAACGGATAATAAAGGGGCTCTATTCTTTACATGCACAAAAAAACATTTAACACACTACAGGAAAGGGAAGACCCCCAAAAAAGCCTAATAGGGACCCTTTAATGACTGACTAAATCAGCACCATGCAGTTCCTTCCTGCTAACAAAACAATAACTTTTCTTTATTTGACTATTAAAGGTTTAAAATGAAAGGATATTTCTTGTAGTCTAGTATTGAAATGTGGTATTAGTTATTTTATAAAAGTAAAAGCACTGAGTCAGCGGTGGAGAATGGTCTGGAGGATGCACTATCATCATTGTTCCATGGGAATACAAACGTTATACATTTGTTTTTTTCTGCAAAACCAGTCATTATCATGTTGGGCGGGGCCAAGCGAAGGATGCAGCGACAGTGTCTTTAACTCGAAAGAGTTGAAGGAGAGGAGAGTGCCAAGAAGCAGGCCACTGTTGAGATCTCCATATTAGGATGAATACTTAAAACGAAAGTTAATTATAATCAAATATAATCAATCATATTCTTGTATAACCCACAATGAAAATGCTTCATATTTTATGATGTTCTATATTTACAGTATAAACAAAGTGGTTTGTTAAGTTGAGAGTGTAAGGCCTGTAATGGTTTATGGGTGTCACTGATAAGAGAAGAGGCCGTTTCTTCCCTCTCCCCTCACAGCGGTACACAGGGAGTGTACTGCTGACTTAAGGAGAAATACATTGAGGCCCCAAAAAGGTGGTTGTGTCATAGCCGAGAATAATATTTTGCAAGTCCTGCAGAGTAGGGGTCATGTCCTTTTTACACAAACATGGGAAGGTGTGTCTTATGCCAGAGCCATAGAATATGTCTGGTCATGTCCAGTTCTTTACATCAGAGGCCATGCCCAGTTTCCACAAATATGGGTATGGAGGAGGTGTCTTTAGGTTTTTCTATCCTGTTTTCGAGCATAAAGACACTGGCAGATGGGAAGGAATTAGGCTTTTTGGAGAGAGAGAGAGAGAGAGAGAGCAGGGGGGGGGGGGGGAATCCCCTGGTATATTCTCTCTCGGTAACGCTCTCTAGTTGGATAGCTTCATCAAAAGTATAGTGTTAAGTTTAACACCAAGGAAGGACACATTTTCTAAGCAAATCCACTCCCTGCTTGTTGCCGAGAAACCCATCTAACCCAGCAGGAAAGTCTGCTGTTATATTGTCGAAGGTGTAGTTGGTTTCTGCAGAATGAACAATATGAAAAAGCAGGGTCAGAGTCATTCACATCAAGTTAAAAGTAGATGTAATATGGATTCACTTTGGCTAGAATCATAAAAAACATACCTTCATGCTTCATCTGTGAGCTCAGCGCATGCCTGACTGTCTTCACGGAGGCAGAAAACAGTGGTTTCTTTTGTGTCATCTTTACTGAGGTAATGACGAGGATTGACGACGGACCGCAGGCCGTAATGTTCGTTGGTGTTAAGGTTAACCTTCTCAAACCAATAAGGTTCATGGATTTCAGAAACATCGGCAATCTTCTCCAACTGTGAACACAAAAAATACAATGTCTATGCTTCAATTCACCACCAGTGTAAAATTCTGTAAATATAAATATGTATATATCAACATGTTGCTATTGTTAGAGGTTTTTATTTACCTGCAGATTTTTTTCTTTCACCTTCAGGGAATAGTTGACATTTTTTCTCTTGAAACTAAAAGCAATCTGATTTGTCGTTCCGCTTACACGTGTCCATATTTTCACTGAAGGTGCTAAACACAAAAGAGAAACAACATCATTATATGAAATACCATTCAAAGATGATATTAAATGTGGGTATTCAGTTATTTGGAAATACAGGTGTGTTCATTAAAATGTATACCTTCTTCTTTAAGTTCGACAACACACAGCACCACTCCAGCTCTAGAGTTCCTTTTGACCGTCACAAAGTGTCCTTCTTTTACCTTCAGAAAAGCCTCATGTATATTTTCATAGACCATGGTGCCTCTTCAGTCGTATACTTTCTGGTTTAGCTCAAATAAGATAAGACTTTATTCATTCAGAAGGAAATTATTGTGCCAGATACAAAAGATGCAATAAACAAAATAATAATACTAATAGTAAAAATAGCTAATTTAACAAAAAACTACAATAAACAAAGATAGACAAATAATGAAGCTTGCAGAGTCTTCACCCGAGGCCTGTACTACGAAGCCGGTTCAACCTAACCTGGATATGTTGGAGTTAGCCGGTTGGCCTAAGCCAAAACATACGCGCTGGCGCTAAACTGTACTACGACGCTGGTTATCAAGTGGATCGCTCAAGCCAGCCGTGTCCTATCTAGTTAGGTGCGCGTTCACATGAAAGGAGTGGTATCTGGAGCATTCGACCAATCACAAACATGGACAAGCGTACTGACAGCGCAGCGTCATACTTCCTGAATGAAAAGTGAACTTTAATATTAGTCAAATATGAAGAAGTTAAACTTTAAACATCCATGACTTAAACACTTTACCCAGGATAAAAGCCACATAGCTGCACCTGCAAGGTGAATACAGCTGGTAACAGAGAAAGTGTTTGAATGCGTACATTAACAGGTTTATGAAATCACTGCCCCGTCTAAGACACGATCTGACTTTAATTAGGAGAATTTGACTTGAGTGTTTCGTCAACTTAATGTGTTGCTTAAAATAATACTTCTGCATACAGTATGTGACACTGTGAGTGTTGCACGGCCAGATACGGCTCAGCTGACTCAAATAAGGAAATATACGATACATTATGATGTGATATGATATGAATGATAATGGGACACATCGACGTCTGCACTCACAGTGCCGCGGACTGTACGTAATGTTACTCTGATCCGGTTACTTATGTCGTGGCAGATATTTAAGTAAGCTTTCTTAACGCTAATGTTATAATAGTCAGATTGCTCTGAAGATTGGAGGTGATATTCTATTAATTTTCACGTTCACACAGTCAGTCAGTTGATTTTGGCCGGCAGTCTTTCCTGCAACGGCAGTTTTTCTGTATTTCCTCTATCCTGTAATATGACTTGATAGCTTTAAACTCCGCACACGGAGCTCTGATTGGTCAGCAGGCGGTGCTTTCACTGAGTTGATCTCTTAGCCTGCCACCTAACCTGCTCCGGAGCAGGTTTGCCGCTCAGCATAAGTTACCATGGAAATCTAGCCTGCTAAAAAGAGAACCAGCGTCGTAGGACCGGAAAGCCCGAGATTTCCCTGAATTTAGCCGGCTAAGCGAAAATCCAGCTTCGTAGTACAGGCCTCCGGTCATGCATTGACTTGTATTACAGAACTGCCATAACACCACGCACTGTGGAAGCCTGTGTATTGCAGTGAGGAGGAATGCTAAGGTGCATGTGAGAAATAATGCAAAAGTCACTTACCGTCGCTGATAAAGTGTTGGGGAGCTTGGAGAGTAAATGTTTAGAGACCGTGTTGTTGACAGAGCAGAAGGCGCGTGCAGAAGCAGCGAGCGAGCTGACATTAAATAGTCTCACTGACGAAAGGCGCGCGCGCACAACGCAAGGGGCTGGACCCAGGGGCGGACTGGCCATCGTTCGGGACGAATCCCGATGGTTGTATCCTTGGATTGACATGAAAAACGAACAGAAGATAGAAAGAATGATGGCTGACAGGATTATGCTTTCCTTTTCTTACTGTGTCGGCGTTCTGAAGGCATGCAAAGGCACAAATTAACCCAGCTCATGTATGCAAAGATACAAAATCACTCCTTTAAGTTAAAAAATAATTATGTAAACTTATGTTTGGTATTGACATGCATTCCACCTCATGATGTTATAACAAAACATAGTTGGAAATAAGTGTATTGTAACCTATAGTATACCACTAGACCTCGATACCTTATCTTATAGGATAAGTGTTATTCTTTCCACACTGAGGCTTATGGGACCCTTGGGCAGGGTTGCCAACTTTGGGTATCTGGCTGGAGTGAGATTTTGATATCATGGGTTTAATTCGGTTTAATTGCACATATGCGCACTAAATGACTGCTATCGTGTCAGCAGCGGGACCTTAGCATATATAGGATATATATACAATATACAAATACACAATAATGGACACAGACTATAAAGGGCACACAGTTTCATTCACTAATGAAAGTCAAACATGTTTGTTTCCACTGTTTTATTGTGTGCCTGTCGCGATAAGCAATTAATTGACTTATCGTACGATAAATAAAAATGAACTCGATAACTTTTTTATTGATATAAACGATAATATTGTCGGCACCGTTGTATGACCATTTTAGACCACTGACATAATGATAATATATAATAATAAGGAAGTACATCCTTTCAAACTGCTAGTCACATCCTCATGTAAATGGCAATTTATCGAGGTCAGAAAAGTTAATAAATCTATTACTACACGACATATTTAAAAAAATGAATGCCATTTTAGTTTTTTGTTACTTTGTTCTGAAAGCTGAACCTGCTGCTCCTCACAGCCCCTTTCACATCGGCGCTTTTCCAGCTCCGGCTCTGGCTCGGAGCTGGAGCTGGAAAAGCGCCGGTTTTTCCTGTTCACACCGCAGCGGCGCCGCGTCATAACTCCGGAATGCGGTTCACTTCCAGCTCCAAAAAATTGTCGGCCTAGAGGCAAGAGCTTCGGAGCTATGACGCGGCGTCGCTTACGTCTCTCTTACGTCGAGGCGTGCAGGAAACTAAACCCACCTCCCCTGAACATGGGTCGACTGAAGAGTCTCGTCATGCCTGCCTACAAGCAGTAGCGCTGAGCAAAGTGACTAGAAGGCAACCACACACTTATAAAAAAAAAACACACTTTATAAAGTCAGGCAACACTAACCAGGCTTCGTGTGATTCTGTTTATTTGTACCTTACTTTGACCATCCGTTCGCTGTTATTGATCATTGTGGAGAGCAGGCAGACGTTTGGTATTATAGCAGCTATCGGATGGAATCAATACATGGGCTGCACAGGTTGTCATGTCCGACTATCACAAGTAGAATCATAATGAAAAATACGCCGGTAAAATGTGCCTGTAGAAAACGGCTTAGCAAGTAGTCAGTTTAGCTTCGGTTGCTATGCTAACATCACCCATGTTATACCAGAGAAACTTTCATAACAGCGTTGTGATGCCAAACAGCGTCAATTCAGACGGACACACATTCACTTAAGGGGAACTGGGGATATGTATCAGCTGCTTGTGTGACAGTCAGACAGTGAATACTTTAGAGCCGTGTGAGCTAACCCGGAGCTAACGGGAGAATAAACTCCCGTTGAAGAGCAGCCAGCACTGCAGCGGTCGCTAAATGAAACACATTAATAAACAATGAACCACGGCACTCTGGAGAAAAGTATAAGGTTGGAGAAGTCGTTATTTAATTTAATCTGGCTTCGTATGATTAAAAGCAACACGATCATCGACCCGACGCAGTCCCCCCCCCCCCCCCCCGTTGTTGTTGTTGTGAGCTCCGTTGGGGAGAAAATCGGCGATGTAAACGGTGACGTCATGACGCAGCAGCGGCAGCTGGGCGGTGTGAACAGAGCGGGAGCTGAAAAGGGAAACCGGAGCTGAACCAGAAAAGCTCTAGCTAGGAGCTAGAAAGGGAAAAGCGCCGGTGTGAAAGCCGCATGAGAGAAGAGGGAAGAGGCTGTGTGGATAAGGGTGGATAGCCCCCATTGTTCTGTGTGTCAAAATGAAAGACAGCCCACACACCTATCAATCATCAAACCGTGGGGTCTTATTTCATTACGTGTTGATTTCTATCAACACGTAATGTTGTATTGATGTATAGAGATGTACTACCGCAAAAGTATTCTCCGTCGGGACTTCCTGCAACAACACCACGCCGTTATCGTGATTCTGATTGGCCAGAAGACATTATCAAAGATGTTTTATTGAGAAGACGATCACTACGTGACAAAAGTTTTCAAAACCGTTTCTAGTCTTCGGTATTCTTGTTTTTGGCGTGAGAATAGTTTGGGCAGCGTGAGAGCGTGAGATTGAGAGTGAAAGCGTGTGTCACACGCCAGATGCGTGAGAGTTGGCAACCCTGCTATAAAGGAACTACAGCACGGTCACATGACTTCACGTCACCACCGCTAAGCTAAAGGTGGCTAATGTTGGGCTATAAAGGAACTACAGCACGGTCACATGACTTCACGTCACCACCGCTAAGCTAAAGGTGGCTAATGTTGGGCTATATAGGAACTACAGCACGGTCACATGACTTCATGTCACCACCGCTAAGCTAAAGGAGGCTAATGTTGGGCTATAAAGGAACTACAGCACGGTCACATGACTTCACCTCACCACCGCTAAGCTAAAGGTGGCTAATGTTGGGCTATAAAGGAACTACAGCACGGTCACATGACTTCACCTCACCACCGCTAAGCTAAAGGCGGCTAATGTTGGGCTATATAGGAACTACAGCACGGTCACATGACTTCACGTCACCACCGCTAAGCTAAAGGTGGCTAATGTTGGGCTATAAAGGAACTACAGCACGGTCACATGACTTCACGTCACCACCGCTAAGCTAAAGGTGGCTAATGTTGGGAGCGATGACGTTTAGTCGTCTCATTTAGACACTTGTTAGCAACTGCCGTTTTTAAATTCACCAGTGGGGTATTTACTGATGTATTTTATGTCGTAAACTACACATCTCTTCAGCTTGTGTTAACCACAGATCTTATTTAAGGCTAACAACCAAAAACACATTTAGTACGAGGAGACGGGAATTGATAAAATGCTCACTCATTTAGGGATTTTAGTTCCTGTACCTTTCATAATGACTGTACACATTCAGTGTACCAATTAGAAAATGCAACAGGGAGAGCTTCAGAACAAAGCTACAGCTAACTGTATTATTAAAATAACTTCCTGTCTAAACTATAAAAAAGCTATATCTGTGTATTTTGGCTCAGGTGTGAGGCTGACGATGGGAGGCGAGCAGAGCCATGAGGAGAAGGCCAAGGAGGAAGAAGAGGAAGCTGACAAACAGAAACCATCTGCCCACACAACCCAGTGTAAATAAATCGTATAATGTCAGACTTTTTTTGCCGTCCGTGCAACCCTGGACCGAAAAATAAGTCAGACATTATACGATTTAAAATAAAAACAATAATCGTGGCTTGATATTGAGTAAGAACATGTTTTTATGAACCACACAGCTTCCGGTCTTCCAAGATCCGACCGGACAAAAAGACGTGTTGCAGGCACGAAACATACTACCAATAGAAATACATTGCTTTTAAAATCGTTCTGTGTGACACGAAAAAGAGGGGAAAATCATGTTGGTGAACACGAATCAATAGATTAAATGTCGTGACTATAACACGAAATACCGTGAGACTGGGTTGGCCCACACCCAGAGCTCAGGATCTGCCGCTGGAGCAACCCAGTCTCACGGCATTTCGTGTTATTAGTCACGAAATTAATTTAATCTATTGATTCGTGTTCACCAACACGATTTTCACCTTTTTTTCGTGTCACACAGAACGATTTTAAATGCAATGTATTTCTATTGGTAGTATGTTTCGTGCCTGCACCACGTCTTTTTGTCCGGTCGGGTCTTGGAAGACCAGAAGCTGTGTGGTTCATAAAAACATGTTCTTACTCAATATCTTACCCTAAGCCTAACCCTATCCCTTTTATTTTAAATTGTATAATGTCTGAGTTTTGTTGCCGTCAGTGAGGAAAAGAAATGTCTCAGAGCCTCAGAATACTGACATCTGTATTTTATGTCATCTTTTTTTCTTTCTAATTTGTTATTATTTGGTGCAGGCACGAAACATACTACCAATAGAAATACATTGCTTCTAAAATCGTTCTGTGTCAGAATACTTAAATCTGTATTTTTTTAAATGTCTTTTTCCTTCTAATTTCTTATTATTTACATTGCTATTCTTTGCGTCACTAGCTTTACCAACATACTTGCCAAATAGACCGTTTTAAGCGTTTAAATAAACTGTCATTAGGTATTAACACTCTTTTAGAATAGAAAGTAAGCATTTGCATTCCTAATATGTGATTACTTTATCTACAAAACTCATATTTTGTAATTGGCGCTGATGTTTGAACTGTGAGGAGCAGCTGGCTGTGTGAGACAAAGCACATGGCAACCAAGATCTTATTATAATATATAATGTATCGTTATAATATTAACTCTAACTGCCGGGAGGGTAGACACAGGTCCATACTCCAAGTTTAACCATAGGGTGTTAAATAATAAGTGTAATTTAAAGTCACCAATTTGCTTAACGTTTGCTTCTCTTAAGATAGGTAGCTAACGGTATCTAGCTAGCTTGTTAGCTTGATAGCTAATGCTAGCTAACCAGCACTGACAGGTTAACTGAGTGGTTCTCTGGTGAACTTGTTTTTGTAAATGTCAACACTGTGGACCTTTGTCTACATTCCTGGCAGTGAGAGTTATTTTAAACTGTCCGCATGAGGTGAATACACCCCAATTGTACTTTTACCGAAGTAGGGTAGTATTCTA